TCTGTACTGCGAACAAAATGTCAAAATTGTTGTTCTGAAGATACATTTGTTTAATTAACTAGGTCTCATGAAGTAAAAATAAAGCTCATGGAGAAAATGAAAATCTGTTTTCTTCAGAACATTGAAAAATGCTTGTTATATAATGTCAGATTTTGTTTTGCTTTTGCTGCAGGTTTGGAAACTTCAGATCCTAATGCAGTTGTAATAGGATTAGCGCCTGACCACTTCAACTACCAGACACTCAACAAAGCCTTCCAGTAAACACACTCGATTTTAAAAATACATCAATAGCCTTATTAACATCTACATGCTTAAATAATCCATTATAATGGTTGAAATATTACAGCTAATCAACACCATCTTCTTTAAATCAGACTCATTTTAGATGGTGCCCCCCTGATTGCCATCCATAAAGCACGATACTATAAAAAGAAGGATGGTTTGGCTTTGGGACCAGGCCCATTTGTGACTGGATTAGAGTATGCCACTGACACAAAGGCCACAGTTGTGGGTAAACCAGAGAAAGGCTTCTTTCTAGAGGCCTTGCGAGATCTCAACTGCTCACCAGAGGAGGCTGTGATGATCGGAGATGTAAGTATGAATAGGACTGTAATAGTTTTGTGTCAATCTCACACATTTTTGTGAGTAACAGAGGTGATTTTTATGTCAAAAAAATAAAATACATTTGGCTTAGATGATTTTTTTTTGGGACATTAATACACAAATAGATTTGATTGATTGATTGATTGATCGATTGATACTAAAGCAAATAATAGTTTTAGTATACATATTACCAAATGTATTCAAAGTCATTAAAAATACATCTTTTTAATATTTAAATAATATTCCTGGTTATTATTTCACAAAGAAACACATTGAGATTTTAATGAACAAGGTGAGAGTTTTTGCACAGGCAACGAGGAGACAAATCTAGTTTTATACAGTCTTCGTTTTAGCATTTTCGTTTGAGTAATTTCTGGAAAAACAAATTAAAACACAAGTATAAAATCCTTCAAATGAACAAGAAGAGAAATAACAAGTCAAACTAAATGACGAAACAACAAGCCTTCACAGTAGCAGATAAAATCATTTAAATCAGAACCAAAAAAATTTAATAAAGCCACTCTGAAATGAAAAAAAAACATCTACTTCCTATTATTCTAATAAATTATCTAATTGTATTTTTAAGCATTTTCTCACAAAAAAATGATGCAAATTTTTCAATATTAAAGGTGTTGTTCACCCCAAAATGGAAATTTTCTGTTAATTTTACTATTTCAGCTAAATTTTACGTTCTTCCATGTATAAATGTCATTTTTTTGCACCGTTATCCCTTTGATTATAAAAAAAAGTATTACACATAATTTGTTGTAGCTTCAATACTGTTTGGTGATCAGTATTAAGTATCTGTAAATCGGATATTATCTTATAAAAATCTTATCAGTCATACACACATAACAAATATAATAAGGACTTTATTTCATAATATTATACTATTTCATATATCCCTCACTATTTTAAGATATTTTTCTTAATGCAAATGTTTTACTAAATACAAAAATAGAGATAAATTAAATTATATTATCAATTATTAAAAATATTTTGAGTTAAATATTTTTATTGCCATAAGGTTTAATAATCAATCAATCAATCAATCAATCAATTAATCAGTCATTCAATCAACTAACCAAACAGTAAATTAACCCATCAATCAATCAATCAAT